TGTTGTGAAACCTTTCTTTCACGTTTTTACACTGTTCTAAAAATCTCTAGACTAGCTCTTGAAAATTGAAATAGATATATATAGACCCCAAAATTTGCCCCTGTGTGTATGTGTGTGTGTGTATAGTATGTGCGTGTGTGACTGTGAGTGTGTCTGTGTGTGGTAGTAAGTGGAGAGTGAGGAGTGTGTGTGTGTGTTTGTTTTTCGGGCTTTATTCAGTAACAGTTCAAAGTATACAAAAATAGAAACACAGGATCCATTCACTCCAGGGCTCATGAGTCGTTCATCACTTTCAGTTTCACTCTTTCATTCAATTCCCGTGTTGTCTCCCGCGTCTCATCCCCGTCCGCCTGACTTTCACACCCCACCCCCTCTCTCCAGGCACACACAAAGAAAACCTCACTCATTCCCTTGCACCCTGCGAACCATGGACAATAATATAGGCAAAACACTGCCTGAGCTGCATTCCTTTCGTTCGTGAGCTGTGGACCAGGCCAGGGGGGGGTTGGTGTCGTCTTATAGTTGCTGTCACCTGTGGATACACTCGCACATTCTTCCTTTCACCCGCTCTTTCACTCACACTGTCTCTCCATCCACAGCTCAGCTCGTCATACGTTCAAAAGTTGCCCACTGGTCACTTTTAGTTAGTGTGTGTACATGTGCATGATGGTGGTGGGTGTGTGGTGGGTGTTACTGAAGGTTGTCTGAAGGCAGGTTTGCCATGCGGTGTTCCTTCCCAGACCACAGGCAGAATGAAAGTTGGCGCCGAACTCTCGCAATTAAATAGGCAAAAAATCACGTGACCGGAAGCCGGAAACCGTTCGGAGAAATAAAGATCGGCACTATTTCTCCGAACGTTCGGAGAAATAATCACTTCGTTTTAGTTTTTGCTGGGTGACTAAATGATAAATGCAAAATAGGTTACTGCCAATGTCGAGCGGTCTTGTTTTCTCGCAGTACCTTTTGATGGTATTTTCAAATGAAGTAAAGTCCGGGAACGTACTGTTGCCCCAACCACAACTGAAGTATCTGAATATTCAGACATTTAAAAATCTCTAGCTCTAGAAATTGAATTCAATGTAAAAAGTGTTTCTTCCCAATCATCGCAGAATGGCAGAATGAAAGGATGAACGCCTATATCTCGCAAATAACCAAAAAATCTCGAGATTGGAAACTGTTTGGAGAAATAGCTCTAGTTCAACTTTATTTTCCCGAAAGTTTGGAGAAATAGTCACTTCATGAATTTATAATTACAGAGCATGGGCTGGGGCCTGGGTAATTTTTTTTTCTTATAAAAATAAATTGGATTGGACCTATCTTGACTTAAAAGTTTTAAAGTTTTGTAGTGAAGATTAGGGTCTAGACTGATCACGTTGTATCTTTGAGTTCGAGCACATAATTTTCTGAATTTCAAGCCGTTTCTCACAATGACCTGATTTAAGAAGATCATGTCTATCAAATTCTGTCGAGCGTTTGGTCATGTTATTATTCAATGACTATTGAAGAGACGCCAGGTTCATCTTTGACCTTGTCTCTTCATTTTCATTTTCATCATAACTGTTGCTCTGGAGCCCTTACATGGTATAATTATAATCTTTTCGCATCTGGTGTTCTTCTTTCGTGTCAAATGTTTGTTGTATTTGTGGGATAACATGTTGAAGCCTGGAGGAATTCATCAATGTTTGATTTTTTAACGTTTATATTGAATTTGAATTGTTTCTTTCCTTAAAATTAAAAGCTTCCTTCAGACTTGAAAAGATTAAAGATGCTGTCCGTGACATGTTATGGTGTAGGTTTAGTCTTTTTGTAGTTTTAGATGATAGTCACAGTGTCAAAGTAGGCTTCTATCAGTTGAGATTTTAATATCAAACTTTAATTAAACTCACACTGGTTTTTCTGAAGACAAATTGAAGTGAGTTTAGAAGGAAGCACCTTGCAAATACTGTAGAATTTTTGTAAGACGGAAACTGATTTTCCAGGAGAAAAAAAGTGGGCGTCTTAGGCAGGACTTTAGAAAAGGAAAGAAAATAAATTGTTCCCTCTCTAGAGGGGAGGAGTTGATCTTGCGAGAACTTCCGGGCGGGTGAGAATAGCCACTTTCATTCTACAACAGCACTACACTACACTAGACTACAGGCAAGAGAAACCCAACGCAGAGTCTTGGGGAAAGGCCAGGAAGACGACAAAAATATATGGCGGAAATACGCCATCTAATTTAGGCCAATCACAGAGTCAGAGGTGTGCTTCGTGTTCCCTGTAGCTCATGTGTTTCAAACTTTCGAAGTGTCAACAAAAAAGATTGCATATCATTGCCAAATTTTGCCTAATCGGCTAGGCTAGATAGGCCTATCTATCAAGATTTCTAGATCTAATAAATCACTCTGCGACAATAAATGTTCGCCCTTAGGTAAAAATTAAGACAATCATAACTTTAAGGCGATGTGATTTGTCAATGAAAGACGGTAAGGAACACAAAACAATAAAAACATGCTTACCTTGGTGTATTGTTTACCACAAACTTTCGGCGTCAGCTGCCATATTTCAATTACGTCAAAACCCGGAAATGTTTCTTCACGAAAAGGTTTCATTGTGTGTAGCCAAATTATTAAGGTACAATCTCCCTTGCATCTCGTCATGTAGTCGAGGCAGTAACAGAGAGTATTTAATTATATTTTAGTGTCTCTGGTAGTAATTTAATTAATTAAAATTTACTTGTGCTTAGCGTGAAACGATCTCGATCTTTGATTAAATTATAAAGTAGAACTTTGGATAAAAGAGCATCCCTGATCTACACACATCACATTATATTTAACTTCATTTTTTTGTTGTCTTTTTAAATTTTGGTAACGTCGTGTTGTTCAAAACCACTTTGCCATCAACTCATCACAAGTTAATTAATCGCCGTATTTACAGAAATGTTCCTTCATCTTGACGTTTTATATTATTATGTGGCTACCTGTGTCATCTACAAAGAGTACAAAATATTGCTGCCAAAATAATTACTAAAA